CCAATGTTACACCGTGTCTACACCGGACGCGAGCGGCACGACGCGACAAATCCCCGTCAGAAAACTGCTGCTGTGTTCTATTTATGACGTATTGACACAAATTTCAAATGATTTTCAACGGTCGCTTTATCGCGTCCAGTGTAGACAGACTTTAGCTGTTGTGGCGCAGCGTGACAACTGTTGCGTCCAGTGTAGACACGGTGTTACTCACCTATCGAGAAGAAACAGTTAACCTCCTCCAGCAACCCACGCTCGCGATCTCCGATCGCTGCTCCCGCTGTCTCAGCTCTTCCTCGCCACTCCGCCAGTGCGCCCCCAGCTCCCTGCCTCAACAGCGCCCCCGCCTCCCTGTCAGTTTGTATCGGTCTTGCTTGGGTGGATTTTCCCATTGGAGTTCGTCGTCCAGGAGGCACTATTGGACCTGTTCCTGGCTGCCCTGTGCCTGGATTGTTTTTTGTCTATTTTTTCTCTTTTTTGAACTTCAAGACTGTTCAATAAATTGACTTTTGGCACCTGCAAACTGAGTCCACGTCTCGTAGTGACACACTCGGCTCGGCTAATGTCCGTCCTGTGCACTGAACGCTCTCTCCTCCACATCATGAGTAGACACGCCCCTTACTGCTGATTGGCTACAAGTTTGTTTTGGTACTCTGCTCGACTCAGTTTTCTAAAGCGTTTTTGAAAAAATACATACCCACCTTTAAGTGGAAAAAACAAGTCCAACGATGAGTGTAATAATTGTATCTGGCAACACGACTGAGACTGCGCCCGCGCCCTCACTCACAACTTTCTCTCAAGCCACGTTCACATGAATCGCTTTCCATCATTTTCACATCACGGACACTAAACAATCTAGGCAAACCATTTAAATTGAATTATACATGTAGATACTCGTAGGAGGAGTTTTAAATGGCTAGTTATTCAGAGAAGTTCAAAAAAAAAATTTATATGAAAAATTGACAGAGGTATGGACCTCTGTGACCTTATAGCTGGCTACGGCAATGAGCACAAGTGTTGATTATCATTGGGTGAACTATTCCTTCAAAGCTGGCATAGCAACTGTCCAGCAACCTTCAAACATTTACAAACATTTTTTTTTTCTTCTAGCCTTAATGCACCAGATGCTGGGTTTCCTCACTTTGGTGTACTCCCACAATGTCTTGTGTAATTATCTTGTCTTGGAGTGGACATGGAGATGTAATTCAAGGCTGTTTATTTTAGGCTGGAGGTCATTCACTATTGTTGTGTCAAGCTCTGCAATTATACAACATTTCTAAATCTGAACTTTTTATTTTTATTATTGCAATTTTTATTTCTTTCATGCACAGGACTGCACTGTCTACAACATGGAAGAGAAGATTTTGGATGTTGTAAGTATTTTGCATTTCCAGTATTACTTTTTTTATACTCATAAAGCTATTTGTTTTATTTCTTTCACATAATTGTGTAAATGAGGATAATGGGACTAGTTTTAGTTAGTTTTATGTTTCTGAGTTTCTCAGGCAGCAATGCCTTTTACCATGCATCATTTCATGTTAACAAAAATTATGACCTGACCCCCCAATAAACATATATTTACACTGGCATTGTTATATTATTACAAAATACAAAATAGTATTTCTTTAATATATTAAGTCAGAATACATTACTTAAAATGTGTAATCAATAGATTACATTACTGACTATAATTTTCATCATGTACTGTAATTTGAAATCAGTGACAGAAAATTATAAATCTGCCTATCACTGGAAATAAAAACTCGTACGTGCAGTGACATGTGAGCATATGCAGTCATATATGCGTAGTATTGGGCATTGGGCAGGGTGAAGGACGTTTGGAATTTACATGCAAGTGTACATATAATGGGTTGACAAAATCACAAACACAAAGCCTGAATGGTTTGGGTCCTATTATTTATTCCTTCACTGTCAAGCAAGAAGTTTATAGTGTAAATGGTCTGTCTGCAATACAAGACAAATGTAGATGATTTGGTTTATCTTAGGTTATGTTGCACACTAACTGTTTATATAGAAAGGAAAAAGTCCTTCTCATCAGGACCACCTGGCTGAATTTCATTTCAGATTACAACCTAGGTTTAATGTTGAAACAATTCTAGTAGTGACGCCTTCATAAATGCAAAGTAAACCATGGGGGGCTTGCTGTTCTCTCCAGTGTTTCATCGAGAATGTTACCGTTCATTTTGTTTACACTCCTGTTCTTGTGCACTGAGTGGAAAATTCAATCAAAGCTCAAATAGTGTTCGGTTTGTTTATTCAAGCCACATGGTTTGTTGGACTTCATTTATGTGCTTGGCTTCTGTGAATTATTGTGAGATTTTTAAGTAGTAGTTCTAATGGATCTGTTTTTCCAGACCCAAATTAAAGATTGCATTAGATTAGATTAAAATAAGTGCTTACATTATTGGTACAATCAACATGGTAGTCCACTAGACTCTGGAAAACCGCCTTTGATCATGTGTTTTTATTTAGATTTATCCACAGTATTGCTTCTGTATTGGTGGGATGCTTGGAACAACCTTGCATGAGCAGAAATATACTCCACCAGTCTACCGCTGTTAATAATGATGAGCTGTAATTGGGTGGTTTGGGAGCATAAAGTGGAGAAGGGACAGTTTTGGAGAAGGAAGGGAGTTCCCATAATTTAAAAAAATTGTTCATAACTGAAAAATCAGATAATATTGTAGCTATTATTCCAACTCCTTTCCCTTGGGACTTAGCTGCTGTAATCTTCTCCCTTCTCCCGATACTATGCCATGGGGCAAATATGGAGATCAACCCTCAGATGTATACACTAGATAAGTATGTATTTGTGATGCATAGCCAGGTGACACTTTATTTGGATAGTTCATCTGTCTACTAATTATAAGCAGACTGTTAGGGTAAGGGTTAGGTTTAGTATAATAAGTTGATATGTACATGCAAAGTTGATATGTACTTGCAATAGTCAGTAGAATGTCTGTTGGGTAACCATCAAAATAAAGGGTTAGCAGATATTAAGCAGACAGTCTACTAATACTAGTAATACACTAATACTAATATGACTGCTAGTTTACATGTCTAAAGTGGACTATCCAAATAACGTGTAAATCATAGCCATTTTGAATTGCACATCTTGAGTGACCGAATTTGAAGATGCTGCTCAATCATCCAGCACTATTTTTCTAAACTCTCTGTTTTCCTAAATTGCAGTCAAAGGTGTTGAACATTATTTGTGACCAGACTGTGAGAACCACCTCTGATCCTCTCATGAGCCAGTCAGCATGTCTGGAGGAAGTTCAGCTGACCGACATCAAACTATTGCAGTCCTGGAAGCCAGCAAATGAACTTGGTCAGAGATCACAGATTCTACCCGACCTAAAAAGCCTTGACATCCATCTAAAAAGCTCTATGACCAGAAGTGTATTAAAAAGGTGATGAATCTACTCAATTTATAGTGTAAGGCTTGTTGCCTCATATTGTCAAATGCGGTCGTTCCTGTTGTGTGTCCTCAATCTGGCAACTCGCCTAAGTGTCAAAAAAAAAAAACATCTAAAAGGAATATGATTGCTTCAGATAAGTCAATAATGTTGGCCATTGCTGTTTGAGTTCCATTAGCTAAAGCTGAAGAGTGAATGAACACAGGTAAACTGAAGCACTTTGGTAGCAGGTTAATTGACACAAACAAACAAATCCTATAATTTGAAATATACACAACATAATATTACAACTTGTATCTAACTACACAAAATGACGTGAATGCACTAGTGAACTTGTGAAAGCACTAGTGAAAAGCTGCCATAACCAATCAGGAAAAAACATTTAGTTTTAGAATTAAATAAAATTAAGTCACATGATCATTGTTGTCACTTCTGAGTACTCAAGTATACATTCTCATGCCTAAAATGTGCTGCAACATTTCATGAGCCAGTCAGCATGTCTGGAGGAAGTTCAGCTGACCGACATCAAACCAGGAGAGGGATTGGTGAGAATAATTTTTTATAATTATTATCTACCTTCATAATAGTTATCTCCATTCGAGAGAAAAAAATAAAACAGATAATTCCAAAATATGAAAATTCTCTCAACATTTAATCACACTGGTGCCATTCAAACCCCATTTTCTTCAATGGAACACAAAAGGATTATATATATATATATATATATATATATATTAAGATTACAACTTGTATCTAACTACACAAAATGACGTGAATGCACTAGTGAACTTGTGAAAGCACTAGTGAAAAGCTGCCATAACCAATCAGGAAAAAACATTTAGTTTTAGAATTAAATAAAATTAAGTCACATGATCATTGTTGTCACTTCTGAGTACTCAAGTATACATTCTCATGCCTAAAATGTGCTGCAACATTTTTTATTTTATTTTTTCAATCTTTTCCTAATAATGTGGACTGGAGATTTCAAGCTTAAAAGGGATGCAAAAGCACCATCAAAGTACCATGAAAAAAGTCTATGTGTTTTTTTCTGTTTTATATAGGAAATCATTCTCTCTTTTCACTGCCAACTGTATAGAGTTTATTGTCTCTCCTTTTCTGTTGTTTTCATGATTTTTCTCTCTGCCTTCCTGTTACTCAGGGCATGTACATAAAATCCACCTACGATGGGCTTCATGTCATCACTGGCACCACTGAACATGTGAGTAAGGGCTGCAATGACGAAAGCCTTTGATTCATCACATTTCGCTTTTTGATGCCAGTGGCTGAGATACATTTAGCTTTTATGTGCATGCCATGTTCAGTCTACATGAGCAAAATAATGGAAAGTAGAGGGGGCTTCTCTTAGTTTATAGACTGAACAATGTTTGTAAGGGCTACAGATGTCAGGTTTGCTCGTTCTTTGTATTTAGATTGGGTTCCCAAGTAATGCATGGAGCTTTACAAAATGTAAAGCTGTCAAAATTAAATGGCATGCAAAAATTATGCTTCTGTTATTTTGAACAACAGCACTCTTGCTTGTGCGATATCGTCAGATTTGGTGCTTGTCACATCTTGTTAAGCTGTGCATGAGAATCCGTAATCAATCACACAACACATTGTGCTGCAATAAAAGGTGAATGCACCAGTTCCTGGTATTTTCAGCGATTCAGATTCTTTCCAGTGTATAGATGGTTGTAGACCACATACTGATTTACATGCTAGCTATCATTGAAGACCATAAGTCGTAGATCTTTATCATAAAGATGTTAATTTAGTCTTAAATTATTTTAAATTAAATTAAAGTCTTCATTTTGTTTCCTTACATTTATATCCCCCAACTAACAAAAATATGTTCTAGGACAGCCCTCTACGAACACCTTGGCAATTGAATCGCCATTGGCTAGGCAATGTAGAGGGTTGTAGGAATGTTTTACTAACATTCTCGTTAAGTTGAACATTGAAAACATCCAGTTTTCTAAATGTTTCAAAAAAGTTTTCTTGGTTATGTGAACATTAAGGGAACTCTGTCAAGAGGAGCGGAAGGATTTGTGTTCCCAGGAGTTTTGAACAAGTTAATTAATTTGTCTTTAGTCCGTATTTAATGATAGATATTCTAGACAGTGATTTCAAGATCACACAAAACTTCTCTGAAACTAAATTCCCACGAGTCAAGTGATGATTCATCCACCCCAGGTCAGCTGATCGTTAATTACAGTTAGTTAATCAGGCTTGCTTGTGATTTTATTGTTTATTTTTCATTATAAAACAACAAAAGCTTGTATTTAAGCAATATCACTGCTGTTGTACTGAATTTTAGGATGTGTTTCAGCCATCAGCAGTTCATTGAATAAAAATTTAATAGCAAGTAACTTTTGCTTTAGACCAACTTTTTCCAGTATGTATTTTTCCACCAATAAAATCCAAATGATGCTTCCAAAAGAATCTCAAAATACACCAAATGTATGATTATGAGGTATATGGATAAAGAGATTTATTTGTGCTATTTTGATGGCAGGGAGAAGTGTCATGGCTATATTGACATAATGATGCATGGACTTGAAACTTGCAGTTAATTGAGTTCTGTTGATTCAGTAGCCGTTCTGACAGACTCTGTCAGTTCATTTAGTAAAAGATTCATCAGAAAGATGTGTCAGGCTGATTCACACGGGTAACTCCTCAGTTCATGAGACTTTTTGAACAATTCAACAACTCTCTGGTATTCATTATTTGGTAGTCACACTCGTGTTGTTTGCGGTCAAAGCTGACTGGAGACCATAATTGTATAATAATTTTATTTTAATGAAATGAATGTACTGTATTTCATTTGAATAATGTTTTTTTTTCTATTATATATTTGGTATTTTGAAGGGATTTCATGTTAATAAACAATAATCACATCTAAATTATGGACCATTTATTTCTGTATGAAATGTATAAAAAATACATTTCATACTATTTTTAAGTTAATTCAGTATTTAAATGAAAAATTTAGCAAAAGTACTTAAAGTCCAATGAGTTGAGGCAGATTAGTGTCACCTGGTGGGAAAAGAAAGAAAGAAATATAATCTGTAATACCATGATATAACCACTGGATGCCTGTATAGTCCTATATATAAATATACTGTATACAAGGCTGTGTATCCCCTTGTTACTAACAACAATTTTTCAGACACATTAATTTAATAAATTCGAATAACTTTGCTCTGTTACAGTCACACCAGTTTTTGTGTGTGTGTGTGTATGTGTGTCGACACTCTTGATGTTTTAGAGTTTCAAACCTTGACTGCTATGTGCTTTTTCTGCATGGCTGATTTTTAGATGTATACACAAAAAATTCCCTGTATTTTCATATTTTTGCCTATATCCCATTGACTTCCTATTGTGGTCGTTTTTGAACGCGAACAACAAAAGTGTGACTGTTTTTGTTTTGTTTTTGTCTCATAGCAAGTGTCACCAAGCAAAAATCACCAAGTTTCATAACGTTCCAATGAAGTTCTGATTTTTAGAAATTCAAAACTTTTTTTTTTGGTCTAAAATGACGAACAACACCAGAGGGTTAAAAGAAAATGCTCAAATTAGTCATTTGTTTGTCAATTGGTCTATACAGGTTGCACTGTACATTTGTTTGTGTGTGCAGCCCTGCTGGAAATGGCAAAAGATGCGATTTATCGTGCAGCCCTAATATTATACTGTAGATGACTTTGGAGCAATGAAGAACAGGAAAATTAAATAAATAAAAAAATGAAATCTGTATAGCATGTGTATGTATAATGTTTTTAGAAGACATGCTGTTTTACTTTTAATTTCATGTTTTGGTTTATTTGCATTTTACACATGTAGTTATGTTGTTGCTTTGTATAGTTCCGTTTGTGATGATGCCTATTTATGAATCCACAGCATGTACTTAACAAATCTTTCTGGCATTAGAAAAGGATATTTGATTAGTAATAGTCAATTTTACCACATTTTTTTAAGCATTCTTTTTTATTTAATTATTTATATATTTAGTGAGGGGGGGTGCTGGGATTTTGTCTTGTTCACAAAATGTTTAAATGGTTTTGACAGGAACATCAATATTTCGAGAAAACAAATACTCAAAGAATTTCCCCTCTAGTCCCCAGCTGATATGACACGCAAGATCCATGCTGGAGATGAAGTCATCCAGGTCAACCAGCAGACAGTGGTGAGTATTTCTGCACACAAGGTCTTTGTATTGTATAGTGGTACATTAGTTGTACACTTTAAACGAAACCCTTTTTTCATCTATACGTTTTGGTATTGAATGAAATATGTGTTTTGCAATTGCTCCTCACTCCAACTGTTATTTTGGATGAATTTCTCCACAGTGCAGTCTGGATTTGGCATATTTGAAAAGGATTCGTGCAATGCTGTTTGGAACCATGTTCACTGCATAATCTGAAGAGCCTGTGTCTGTATAAACAGAATTCTTTTTGGTAGTACTTATGGGTTTGTGCTTGTTTGTTCCAGGTGGGTTGGCAGCTGAAGAACCTGGTGGCCAAGCTGAGAGAGGACCCTAAAAGCGTGGTGCTTATTTTAAAGAAAAGGCCCACAGGAACCTCAGGATTTACCCCAGCACCTCTCAAAAACATGCGCTGGAGACCGCCCGTGCCTCAGGTGTGTCAATCATAAAGGTTTAACAGTCATCAACTCTCAGATTATCATAGAAGTTAACTGAATTGTCTGTTCAGATTGTAAAATTATTAAAGGGGTCATATGATGCTTTTTTAAAGATCATTATTTTGTGTATTTGGTGTAACAGAATATGTTGACATGCTTTAATGTTCAAAAAACACATTATTTTTCAAATACTGTACATTATTGTAGGTCTTCTATGCCCCGCCTCTCTCAAACGCTTCGTTTTCTACAAAGCCCCCTATTTGTTGTTTGTCTTAATAAATTTGGCAAATTAAAAATACAGTGATTAAATTTAAACATTTTTTTTCTATTGCTCTGTTTTAAAAAGGGTAATAAAAAATGTCAATAATTATCGATACAGAACGATATGAAACATATATCGTTGATATATTTTTTAGCTATATCGCCCAGCCCTAGTATTCAGTAGGTGTAATGTATTCTAAGTTGCTTCAGAAGTATTGCAAGTATTACGTACAACAATAAAAAATATGTGCATTGACATAAAAAAGGAAATTTACTTTTGGTACTTAAGTACTTTTAAAAGCAAGTACTTCTGTACTTTTACTTAAGTAAAAATCAGTATCTGTACTTTCACTCAAGTAATGAAGTTGAGTACTTTGTCCGCCTCTGGTTATATACGAGTCACAATTAACAACCACTCTGAAATGCAGTGGTTTTCAAAACTGTCCTGGAGCAGCCCAGCACTGTCCTGCTGATCTAACACACCATTCAACTTGTCAGCTCATTATACTTGCCAAAGGGCACAGGTAGCTAAATATGATATTTATTGTAATGGGTTTATGTGAATATTGTTTTAAGTTCACTTAAATTAGAAGTCTAATAAATGTTATAATTGATAGCTCTCAATTATACTGTAATGTTGAATGGCTATCAGTGGTGGACAGTAACGGAGTAGTTTTAATTCGTTACTGTACTTAAGTACATTTTTCAAGTATCTGTACTTTACTGGAGTAGTTTTATTTTGAGTAACTTTTACTTCACTACATTCCAAAGCATAAAATCGTACTTTTTAATTCACTACATTTCATAAAACATATCGTTACTCCTTATAATATATCACGTGCTCTGACACGCAGAAGCGGTGTCTGATTCAAGAACGAACTGATTCTTTTCAATGAACCTTTTAAATCGGTTCGCAAATCGCACCAAACGATTAATTCACGATTAGAATTAACCGATTGCAAGCTGTTCTCGAGTCGACAACTCACTGATTCAAATGAACCGTTTAGTGCGAATCTCCAGTGAACTGAATTCACAAGTAAGAACCGCGCGTGCGACTGATGCTGCTAAAAGTAAGTTACTGATGTTGAATTTTAGGATTAATTATTGTAACTGAAAATCATATTTAGGTCAAAACTGTCAGTTGTTTGTGAACTAAATCTGCTGTAAAGGGTGATCTATTCAAGCCCACTGAAATGCTTGAATGCAGACACATCAACATCAGTGTCTCTGTTTTAGGTAAAAAAAAACGAAACATTAAAATAACAGATTGAATGTGAAATTATAGCAATATAAAAGTATATTTAAAAACTTTAATGTTAGGTGGGATTAATCACAATTAATTGTGATTAATTTCAGAAAAAGTGTGTGATTAATTAGATAATTTATTTTAATCGGTTGACAGTACTAAAATTGTTCATATAATGAAAGTAGATTACAGTAGGAAAGTCAAAATGAAAATGCTGTCTTCATTCTGTCATCACCCTCATGTCATTCCAAACCTGTATTCATTTGTTTCTTGTGTGTAACTTGCAGGAAGAGATTTTGAAAAATGTCTCCATGTTTTTGAAAGTTCAATGGAGTTCAATGTTGTTTCGACACTAATGCTTTTCAAAATATTTTTGGAAACACTTGCGTAATTCCATTCATGACTATTAAATGGTACTGACCCCATCCCCACTTTAGTGAGATAGTCTACCAATTTATGCCATTGTACAAGGTCTTAAATTTCAAGGGCTTCATATCAAATATTCACTAAGATTTCCGGAATAGTACTAATAAACCAAATGTGTTTATCAACAACCTGGTTTATCATCAATACATACAAATTTGTTTCAATCTCATACATTTTAGCTAACTGAATCTTGCTTGTTTCACAGCTAGCCATATTTTAACCATGTTCATACTTTTATACTCAATACATTTAAATTACTTAACAATAAACGTTTATGCTGATTCCAAGCAAACTGAATGTATGCATTTTGAAAATTTTAGTATTTTTATTTTTTTATTTTGCTAAAGTTTTTAATACAAACTTTACTGCTTTTACACGAACAAAGAGCTTCTGTAATGGAGCTTGTCTCCGCAGGTGCTCACACACCCAGTGGGACAAAATCACACAACATTACAATATTGTTTGAACAAAGTGCATTGGTATCAGTTTATAAATCTTACACTTAAATTAAATGATGCTGTGAATGCTTAAAAATGAGGTGTGTATGTCATGTTCAGGTATATTTAAAAATATACATACATAAATATATACAAAAAGTATTTTGACATTTTGGAGTCACACAAATGTCTAAAATTGATTCAACAATAGATCTATTGTTTGTTTTATCATTTTGTGTTATGAAAGTACAGTTGCATTATTAATTTAATTTTGTCACTCTATTTAGTGATATTTGCCTTTTTATTTGTGGAGAGATGCAATAAAAAGAAAGAAGAAGTACAGAAGGTTTTTCTTATGTTCTACAGAGCTCCACATCTCCTAGTAAGAGTCAGTCAGACAATTCTGCCAAACTCTGCAGTAGGAAGGACAAGCCAGCCATACTGGACCTGTACATCCCTCCACCTCCATCAGTGCCTTACGCACCACGGTGAGACTGGATGCTGTTGTCACCAAGAAAACCTTTGTGAATGTTCTGTTGTAACATGTAGCAGTGTAATACCTCTAAAAATATCATGGTATTTTGATTCTGATAAATATTCTGTTCATGGGATGTATCAAAGTACAGTGGTGTTACTATTAGACTCCATCACTTTTCCACGGTGCCAACATAGTACTTTTCCATTGCATTTCTGAACTTAACTCCAAAGAAGTTAAAAGAATAGTTTACCTACAAAATGAAAATTTGTTGAAAATGTACTCACCCTCGGGCCATTCAAGATTTAAATGAGTTTGTTTCTTGATCAGAACATATTTGGAGAAATGTAGCATTACATCACTTGCTCACCAATGGATCCTCTGCAGTGAATGGGTGCCGTCAGAATGAGAGTCCAAACAGCTGATAAAAATGTCACAATAATCCACAATTAATCCACACCACTCCAGTCCAACCATTAACATTTTGTGAAGCGAAAAGCCACGTGTTTTTAAGAAGCAAATCCACCATTAAGATGTTTTTAAGTTCAGATGAGTCCTCTATCCATAATATTGCTTTTTGTCCAGTGTTATCTCTTCTGAATCAGGAGTGAAATATGAACAGATCAAGCACCAAAACAGTTCTACACAAATATGTAAGTGGATTTTGATGTAAGAGGACAACAGGGGATGGATTTGTTTACTGGAGGAAGCCTTATTATGGATTATGGACTCGTGTTTTTGCCAGGAGCAACGGTTTCGAGATAAAACGCCTTGATGGTTGGTTTGTTTCTTACAAACACAGCTTTTCGTTTCACAAGATTTTCATCTTTGGGTGAACTATTCCTTTAAACATGATTCTGTATTTTTTTTTAATTATTCCTGCTGATTAAATAAGCTTTTGTCCTCTGTTACAGGGAAGGACGGAACAGCTCATACACCAGCCTTAATGCCAGACCTAAAGGCTCGGAGTCCCCAAACTCCTTCCTGGACCTGGAGAGCCACCGGCGCTTCACCATTGCGGACTATGACAAACTGTCCGTTCAGCCAGTTGAGGTCAGCATACAGATGCGTCCAAGAGGAAGATCCTCATCACAAGGTCATTATTTCAGAAAAAAATTCTGATTTAAAAGTTTCAGATTCACATTCATCTATTTTTTTTTCATCATTGCAGTGTAGCTTAAAGGGGTCATATGATGCGATTTCAAGTTTTCCTTTCTCTTTGAAGTGTTACAAGCTGTTCGTGAATATGAAAGATCCCTAAAGTTGCAAAGACTAAAGTCACAAACCCAAAGAGATATTCTTTATAAAAGTTAAGACTCATCCATGCCCTCCTAAAACGCCTCGTTCTAACACGCCCCCCACATGTCTACATCACTGTGTGGGAAGATTTGCATAACGCCGCCCAAATGTTCACGCAAAGAAAGAAAGCGTAACTTTGATTCTGGCTGTAGTATTGTTGCCCCGCCGCCATGTCGTGGAGACGCTGTGTGTTTCGTTGTGAAAGCAAAACTACTTTGTTTAGCCTTCCAAAAGAGGACACAACTAGAAATCAGTGGTTAAGTTGTATTTACAACACTGTTCCAGAACACTTCAACCCAAATATTCAGATGTGTGCAACGCATTTTAGGGAGGATGAGGACTGTTTCCTGGGAGAGTAGCCTACAATGCCGGTGTTCTGACAAATAATGCTGACTCACAGCCTGTAAGTATGCTTTTATATTTAAAGGATTTGCCGCTGACGATTCAAACGCGAGTTTTGAGCAGTGTAGAGCAGCGCTTGTTGTTTGTCATTTCTCCGATCACAAATGCAGACATGGTTTTATGTTTACGCGGCACGATATGCAACAAATGCCTCGTTTGTAATGGGTTTTAATGTTTTTGTCTCATCGCTCCGGCCGGGACACGGCATCACAATATGTTAAGGGGCGTAACATTTCTGTCACACACTTGAGGTATTAGGCCAATCAGAACGCTTTTCAGAACGATGCGCTTTGTAAAAATCGACGCGTTTCAGAAAGGCGGGGCATAGAGGAGAAACAATAATGTACAGTATGTGGAAAATAATGTGTTTTTTTAACCTTAAACCGCATAAACACATTTCATTACACCAAATACACAAAATAATGTTCTTTTTTAGCAACGTCATATGACCCCTTTAAATTGAACCCATTTTTGATTTCCTCTTGTATGTTTACATGTATGGTGTATGTATGTATGTGTGGTTTGCACAGGTAAACCACGACCTCTGTCAATGCCTTCGGATACATGTTTGAGCATGGCAGACCTGTATGCAGAGCCCTGGACACAGGGGCGGAAAGGTACATAACACATTCACACCAATCCAGTTTAACCACTTCAGAGGCCAGAGAATTTGTGTTTTTTTGTTGTTGTTGTTTTGTAGCACCCAGGATTGAATTCAGAACATGACAGAACACAATATCCTCCAAAAACTAACATAGACTTCAGTTTGTAAAATCCAAGGAATAAGGTGCACGGTAACGCTCTTACAATCCAATGTATAAGCAAAATCCAAAGTTATAATCCAGTCTATTTAGCTTGTAAAGTTGGTAACTTTCACATGACATATGCAAGGATGCCAAAAAGGACATGTGAAGTAATGTAGCATGATGTTTATTTTGCTCAGCTGGTAGCACATGCCATTAGCAGCATCGAGGTCATAGATTTGATTCCCTGGAAACAAACTAACTATTAAAAATGTGTACCTTAAAAGCCCTGTAAGCTGTGACAGTAAAGACTTTTATATCTTTATATATTTCATTATTTAAACAGGAGCACACAAGCCATGCTGTTTATGTATGCACAATACTTCATAGTCAGACCAGATTTTTATTAAAGAAATGTAAGAATAGCATGCAAACAACATATCACATTAAAGAGCAATAAAATTGGACAAGGTTATACACCTCATAAAACATTAACCACAAGTAAAGACTGTACAAATTAAACAATAATAATGTTAGCATTGCTTTCATACACTTACTTTACTTCCCGATACAATCATTACATATTATATCAAATTGAGATTGTTCAAATAAACGTATATTTTTCAGCCCAGTCGATTATTCAAAAATAACGTGTCATGTCCTCCAGGTTTGAGCGCAGTGACTGGATAGCATTATATTGTCAATAAGATTGGAGATTAATCATAACAAACATGGTGCAATAATAAAAACAATAAAAATAAAATAGAATATAAATGGTGTATATATTCCGAGTATTCCTCCAGCAGTAACGTGAGCAGCTGCGGCCAGATTCTCATGATGACTGTAGCGACACCGGAAACGCTGACAATCTTAGTAAATAATGTTTCACGTTCAAATGGAAGATTACACATATGGTAGGGTATCGTCCAAGACTAAATAGTAAGACCGTTTGAAATACTGAGGTTTATTGTCAAGCTCAACAAAGTTAGTTTAATTCTCTTGTCAAAATTTGCTGCAGCCCATTGACATAATGCAGGCGGAAATTCTTTTACGCGAAACTAATCGAAGCCGAATGTGACGACACGCGGACTGTAAAAAAAAAAAGGCCTATACAGCTGTGCATCAATATATATTACATTTGAAAATATATTCAACATGAATTTGTTTTAGGGCTTTGAAAACATCTGTAATTACATGCATCTTTTAATCTTCTGGTCTAGGTGAAGATCTTCTGTACAGATACCTAAGCAACGAACGCATACCAACTATCTCTGAGGAGGCCCCGGACCCAGGCTCATCTTACAAGTTCACAGTCGAAAGACCCGCTTATGTGATCGACTACTCGAGGAACAGCCGATTCCTTGTCAGTGCGGATCTACACAACAGCGCCACCATACCATATCAAGAGGACTTAGTCAAAAAGACCCCCATGACATCCACCCCGAAACGGCCCCCCGCGGAGCCCTCGCTACTGGTCAGTTGGATCACACGGCTTAAGCTATTGACTCACTAATGTCAGCTTGCCTAAACCCTTTGTCCAGCTGTGTGCAGTGACTCCTTTCTCGTGTACTTTTTCATGCTTTCACTCTCCTTTCGGGATATTTCTTTGTGCCTTTAATTTGTCTACATTGCCTAGAATGTGTCTAAAATGACTAGAATTTAACCTCAGAAATGTATGTTTGGAAACACATGTGGGGAAAAATGAGATATATTATCTCTGCTTAACTCTGTAGTCTTTTCAGAAAAAAATGACTTGTACACCACAGTATTAATTTGCATATTAAGCCACTTGAAAATGTATATCTACCTCAGCTATTTCCACAGTGAAAATAAGCGTTCATGTAACAGTAGTACATAGTTTATGGTTGGAAAACAAACATAAACTATATGGTAACTACAAATTTTTCCCATTCCTGCTGAACCCCATGCCTTTCCAAACAGTTAAGTCAACTAATTTCTAATTAGAGAAACAAATACATCCTGCTGTTTCTCTTGTCTTTTTGCTTTGGATGTCAAACCTTCAGTAGATGTAATAACTTTTTTCCAAAGTTTCTATGAGTTTCATCATGGTTAATTGTATTGTTTTCTTTACGTGTTAAGAGTATGTGTTTTGAGTAAGTTATTTTTTTCTTTTTCACTATATTGCACCAAAAGAAAAATCAGTTTTTGATCTTTTACATTTGTGGTATTGTGCTTTGCTTTTGTGGTACATTAGATGGGTATATTTTTCCAAATGCTTATTGCATTTTGAAAATTTTGGTTTGTGTACGGTTTTCGTTCCCTTTTTTTCTTTTCTTTTCTTTATTTTTCATCAAAGGAATAGTTTCCTCAGAAAGTCATTCTGACAGCATTTACTCGCCCTGTCTAAATCTTGTGGTATTTTCTTGCTTGCGTGGTATACAAAGGAAATGCTTTGCAGGTTGTCCAAACTTTTTTTTTTTCTGTACCTCAAAGGTAGATGTTTGGAATATAGTGCAGAGGTGATATGGACTACTTTTTTTATTTTTTTTAGGGTATTAAAAAGAACAGCTCAGACATTGTTCTAAAAATCTCCTTTTGTGTTCCACAGAAGAAAGAAGATAAGGGTTTTGAATTAAGGGTGAATAAATTATGGCAGCTTTCTTTGCTTGTCACTGTAAAATCTATGCTTTTTAGCCATTTCTGATGTCAAACCATTTTTTGCTAAGGAAATATGGTAACACAGGTTCATACAGTAGTGTGATCACAGCGTTGTTCTGGACCAGTGGAGACACTGCCTCCTCATTAAATTGGGATTAGAGAATGAACCAAATAAATGGAAACAACTAAGATTAAACACTGTATAAATCACAATTTTTCACAGTTAAATTGCAACATTAGTTGTCATTTTGTTTTCATTGAAAGCTGTGCTTTATATCAGCATTTTGCCATATCTGGATTGTGCAGAAAGGATTATGCCGTATTAACTATTGGTTTAAGCTATTTTTCTTTTGTACCACACTTACATTTTGTACCATATTAGTTGCTTCTGTCCATTAAAGCTGCTCTTCCAGATGTTTTTGTATTTTGTATTGTCTTCACTGAATTATATAATTATCTTCATTTAAAAAAAAAAATAAATCTATGTAGCAGGTAATATTTTAGCATTGACTGCAGATTTAAAAACTCTAGAGAAAAGAGGACCAAGAGAAAGTTTTTGATTTGCATGCAGTGACACTTGAGGTCAAATAGTATCATAAATGTTTATGAACTCACAAGAAATGATGTTTGACATAACACAGCTTTTTGGTGACATTTGTCCAAGAGGTACTCGTCTTAAACATACAGTGCGAATTGTGTGGCATTTTTACAATAATTTAAAAAGTAAAACAACTTCAGAAAGTAATGAACAATTACCAGTGATTGTTCCTTGTAAAGGCAGCTTCATGGCTTTGTGTTTTTTAAATCCATTTGTCTTTGTGAGATCCAAACAGTGAATGGCTTCTCAAAACTAGGGAGTAGTTTTCTCTTATTCTCTGTTCCTTTCCTTTTACATTAATCTTTCTAACTGTTTCTGTGTTTTGCCTATGTCTATTAGTCCAACTTACCCTAATCATTTTGCTTAAAGGGGTCATATGATGTTGCTAAAAAGAACATTATTTTGTGTATTTGGTGTAATGAAATGTGTTTATGCGGTTTAAAGTTAAAAAAACACATTATTTTCCACATACTGTACATTACATACTGGCCTCTTCAGTTTTCCCATATTTTCTGCTTTGCCCTTAAAATCTGAAATCTGCTTGTTGGAAAAACGCTCACTGAAATGTATATATATTGAAGAAATGCATTGATCTTTGCTGAACAAGTAATGTGCTCTGGCTTTGCATGGAATGTAATTTTACTCTTTTTGCTTAGACACTGTATCTGTTGTCTTAAATATTTTTTTTATCTGATATATACAATAATTAGTCTGTAAAAAAACTGTAGCTTTTGGCACACAAACACCACCAGTATAGAGTGCCCATCCACTTCTACATGAACTCATTGTTCAGAAGAAAGGGAATGAAAGATGAAATGTTGAAGCAGAGAACAGAGCACAGAGCACAGTGGTCTTGCCCATGTTTACGCATATATTAACTGTTCTTTATGTCCTGCCACAGGATCCCGACTGGACCTCCAACAACGCATTCATCAACAGGTGGGTGCAGAACTAAGTGACACGTCCATCCCGGCCTCTTTAGAGCAGTGCACATTCACTGTGAGCTAAAACAAAAGCGCAGGAAGAATCTCTACCAGATAGTTTTTGCTAAGTTATCAGAAATGTATTTTTCCTGCCAGGATGCATGATGCTCTGTGGACTCGCTGCTCCTTTGTGTATATTTGTAGCAAGCAATAGTGAGTGACATCATGGTTTAAATTCCCCAAGCACCAAAAACAGAGACAACCCCATGATCTGGAACGGTTACCATTAGGTAGTATATCATTATTTTTCATAATTTTATTTAGTTTGTAATTGCAGTTTAAAACCAAAGCAGGTATTTTGATAATACTTGACAATGAGGCTTGTTAAGATGTTAGTTAACATGAACAGTACTTCTACAGCATTTATTAATCTTAGTCACTAGTCATTTTAATGTTTACTAATTTAATTACATTTTTAAAATAAAACATCTGTTAGCATTAATTGATGCACTATGAACTAGCATGAGAAAACAATGAACAATTGTATTTTGATAAACATTAACAAAGATAAACAACAGAAAATTTAAAAATAAAGTTTAAAATAATTAAAAAAGCAAATTGCTCATAGTTCATGATAGCTAATGCATTAATTAATGGCAATGAATGGGACATTATTATAAAGTGTTACCGATGTTTAATTGTTAGAGACATCTTGGGATAGTTCCATATGGAAATAAAAACAGGACTGATATAAACACTGTTGGTTTCTTGTCGTAAGGAATGAAGTGGTGTGATTCCTTTAAACAGAGCTGACTAATCCTTTCATTGTTTTCATAGCCATTTCTCTTAGAATTGTTTTCCCTTTGTGTACAACACAAACTATATAAATATAAATATTGTTAAGTAAAAAATAAATATAAATTTCAAGATCATTGAAGCAATTCAAATTTGAAGCATCACCTAAATTACCGGCCCCCAAGTCTGCCTCACAAAGATTACCTTGACTGTAAAATAACTCAATGTGGCAATATTGGTCAGGGGCTATGTGTCTGTCTGTCCATTGTCAGTGTTGGAAACTTATTTGGTGCCACTAAAGCTACAGAAATGACCCACTTCGCATTTAATTTGATTAACATCTTTAATCATTTGACAGTCTTACTAATAATGCACCCATTCAGTATTGTTGGCTTTTTCATTGGGTTGCATTATATTTAAGTAAAAGCTGTAAACTTTTTGACAAGGCTTACAAAATAAATCTCTAAATAAATGAACAGAAAACAGAGAAGAGACCATCAAATATCTACAACAATAAGACTGAAATGTTATGTATTTTACGTTTATAATGAGTATGTGCTCAGAACTGCTCTTGGAGTTCATCTGTGCAAGTGAATTTCAAACACCACGTGATTTTTTCACTTGAGGTAACATCCTGTTTCAGTAGTATTATTAGTATTATTGCTTTAGCTTCAGACATAGTTTATTGTGCCATGCTTGTTCCTACATTAAATCTGTTGTCTTCTCCTCAGCAGGTACAGCAATAGTGCCATGCGGTCCTGGTCATTCTCTCAAGCAGTAAGAACCACTTCTATTCTTTTTTTCTTTTTCTTTTTTATTATTATTAGTTTGCAGACAGTGAGTTGCAACTCTTGAAGTGAATTATTTTGACTTCATCCAATGATAGAACACTACAGTATCAAAAATATCTGTATTCTGGTTGTATATAAAACATGTCCAAACTCACTTAAAGGGGTCCTATTATGCTCTTTTACAAAGTCTTGATTTTGTTTTGGGGGTGTACTAGAACATGCTCTCATGCTTGGTGGTTCGAAAAACGCATTATTTTCAGATAATTTACATTATTAAAATACCTTTCTCCCCAGCCTGGCACAAACGGCTCGATTAGTTCTGGGTTTTAATGAAGGCCCGCCTTTCGAAAAAAACGAAATGTGTTGTGATTGGTTAGCTGTCCCAGTGCATTGTGATTGGCGAACAGCTTAGACGTCACACCTTCCCTATTTATACACTCACTCTGATCCCCGTCAAGCGGCTGAGTATTGTTTAGCGCTTATCGCTCATCATGTGATAGCTACGTTACAGAGCCATTTCAGAGTGTTGTCTTGTTCCTAGTTCTAGTCTAGTTACGTCTATATATACTATTGCTCAGAAATAGAAAACTATTGCTCAAAAAACTTTAGTATTTTCTTGTAAAACATATCTAATATTTACACTAATCTCTAACTTTAAAACTAACTTTAAAAAAACATATTTTTTACCGTGTACAATTCATATTGTACAGCAGTCTTTATTACTTTATTGCTCTTCTCCAATCCATTTAGTTTAGTTTTTATAGAAGATGAAGATCATGTCAAAAATACTTTAGTTTCTAGATGCTGTTTAGTGGTTGTATAACAAGCATATACCAAGTTATCATATTTCATGAAGTGATTTACAGTGCACCACAACATGGAAAGCTCTTGCTTCATCTCTTACTCTCTTCTTTCATCATTTATCAGTTTAAGGAATAATAATCCAGCAGATCTATTATATTTAATCAGGAACCTGTTAATATTTATTTGTAATTACTAATTTTTAACATATCAAATGTATTTTAAGTGTGAATGTTTCATTTCTGCAAAGTTCTTAGAGGGATATGGCATTTAAAGGAAACGGGTCTTTTTTAGACAGTGATTTGTGGTCACAGTGGTGCCAGCCTCCTCCTGAGCACTCAGTGAGAAACACTGTTGTAGAAGCAGCTCTTGTATTGTCTTGCTTTGAAAACACAGCACACAGACAGAGCAGAAGAATGGATCCTCTGTTCCTGGCAGTGTCATGGCTTGCTCTCGGCAGGGCCGGATTAACAATAGGGCTAGGTGGGGCTGAAGCCTCAGGGCCCGAGCAACGAGGGAGCCCGTGATTGGCTGTGGAGTAGATTGACTGAAGCGCCAATCGCCAAAGCCCCACCACGCCCCCACTTATTAGCGCTATTATTTAGTGGAGCTTTGCCGTAAATTCCATGTATTATCATTAGATATTGAAACGTCACGTTTGAATTTGGTTTACCAATCAAATGCATTTATTATGTATTTGACTTTTGAACGAACTGTACGCG